CGGCCATGCACATGGTCCGGGGTTCGAGCCCACACCGGCGCACACCAGATATCTATGGTCGGCCTGCGAAATTTGGGCTACCGATATCCACGCTGAAAATTCCATACTTGTACCAAAAATACAGTGTGGAATCAAGCTGTTACCAAAAATAGAAAAAAAAAATAGAAAAATAGATACTGAGAGCATATATATAAAGGAATATTGTCTTGTGTAAGGTTTGCTCGTTAAACACCTTTCTTGGTATATCTTAATGCTTATTTCAAATAATTATTGTCGATGCTTAAGTTAATTGTCACTAATAAAGATCTATAGAACCTTAAATTACGTGATTTTACTTAAGTTTAGTACTACTTCAGAAATTCTAGCTGCAGAACTTCGGCAGAATGAAGTGATATTTATTATGAATGAATAAACCACCTACAAAGGTAACTGCCAATTATCAGTACTGTCAACTTTTTCAGTAGTGCAAGTGTGTGAGAGGCATCCAACTACTCACACCAATTAAGCAGTAGTATATGGCGTCAAGATTGAACAGAACTTGCATATTCAAGTGTTGGTTTGCAGGGATTTAATTGATGGGTTACAGGATTTCATCACGAACTCATACCGGTTACAGAATGATTGGAAAACCTAGGAGTACTGGATAGCTGTTTCGTCCTAGTTTGGGACTCTTCATCGGTACGCACCCACTGAGGTTGTGATGCTCACTAGTGATTGGCCCTATTTCGGTAGGTAGTTACCTGGGTTCTAGTGGGAAGTCGTGACCAGTGAGATACAGCAGGTTGGGTGTGAGGGCAAATAATCACCAATGATATTATTACCTAGTGGTCGCGCCATTTCGTGATCTGGCTGTAGTTGGAATTCTTAGGCTATAGGACTGGGTATCAGTGGCTTAACGGTTTACTAGCTTGCATTGTAACCAGAAGGACCTGAGTTCGAACCTCAGTGAGTGCATACTCATGAAGAGTTCCAAATTAGCATGAATCAGATGTCCAGTACTCCCAGTTTCTCCAATCGTTCTCTAACCAATTTCAGTTCATAATGAAATCCTGAGAACCTGCACATATTTGGTGGCAATTACGTAATATTAATGAGTTTCAAAGTTATCTAAACAGAACTATCAAAGCTAGCACTGAAGATTTTGTCGAAGAGAACTATCAAAGCTTCACAATTAATTCACGCAGATCAGGGAATACGACAATACCGCAGTCATCCACCTGGTTCACAAATCTCTATGACTTGAAATTCAAACTGATAAGCTTAATCAATGCTTTATCTTTTATTTTATGTCATATTTCAATCCAAACCATTATACGCAGATTCGTGACTTTATCCATTTTAGAATGTATTTAAATCTCAGATTGAAAATTTCGATTGTTGAGTTTGTATTTATATCAGGAAAGAAGTGTTTTCAACTTAGAAATGTTTATCGTAGTAATCCAACAGAAAAGAGGATTACGAGAATGGGTTATTCACTGGACTGCAACATGAGTGTCAGTTCTTGAAGTTGGAAACAGAAAAAGTTGGTTGCAGAGGTAGGCCTTTGAGGAATACTGTGATACAGTGGCACAAACTAATGTTTATCTACACTCATAGGGCTTCATACATACTTTCTGTACTAATAGAAGGTCTAGCAACACTGGTAAGTAACCGAAATTATAGTTAGTTAATAACAGTGGTAAATCAACTCCACATGAATTTATTGGTCACTTACATTGAAAATTCAACAAAGAACAGATAACACATTGTCTTGAAGGGACGTAGAAGAGGTGGGAATATTGAAGTTAGAAAACTCGGACCGATGGAGCATTTCCAGTAGAGATATGTTTCAAACCGGTGTTTAGCTGTAGTTTATTCAACCTGCTTTCTCTCTTTGAATTACAGTGCTTCATCTTACTTCTCAAATGTTCTGTACATTCAAGTGAAATGTATTTCATCCACTTTTCCGCCAAGGCAGTGCAGCTTATCTGAAGTTGTAACCGTGTGAAAGTATGCAAATTTCATTACTATGTTTTTTATTCGTTCATTGGATCCCAAGTGTAACGTAAGGCTTCAGCAGCACATCACCATTTCGCTCCACTCTCTTCAGTCTTCCTCTGGCTGCCTCTAAGACTGCCTACATGCTTCAGTTTCCTCTTATCATAATTTCCTCCCCATCAAGCTCGGACCCACGCCAAACTGTTTGTTTCCCATTCAGATTACACCAGTGGGTCTGGGGCGTGGTGTCACTCAATGGTCTCTTCAACGTATGTCCAATGCATATCCCTTTTCTTCTGTACATTTGTTGTATTTAGTTTGTTGCCTAAATTTCTTGTTGTTTATTTTTCCCCTTCAACTACCTGGTCTTCAGTACTGAGCGAAAGCGGCTGTTAATAAAAGTCTGCAGCAGCCTGCTGAAAATGCTTTTCGTGATGCACCAAGTCCCTGAACCATGTTATTCATTATTATTTATATTATTACTCCCTTGCGTTCCGAGTGGAACATAGGACTTCAACAACAAATCGCCACCTTGTTCTGTTTTCTGCTGTCGTTTTCAGCTGGGTCCACGGTTGACCAGACTCTCTCATCTCTTCCTCAGATGATCTCCGCCATATCACGCTCATACTGACGACCCACTCGTCGCTTCCCAATGGCATTACACTGGAGGGCCTGGCATGCGACGTCATCTGGTGGCCTCCTCAATGTATGCCCGATCCATCTCCAGTTTCTCCTACATATTTGTTGAGTGGTCGGCTCTCGTCTGTCGGTTTGTTCCCATAGTTTCTTGTTGCTAATTCTCTCTGGCCATTTGATCTTCAGTATGAGACGAAGCGAGCTGTTGATGAAAGTCTGCAATCTGTTTGAAATCCTTTTCGTGACACGCTAGCCGAATCCCTGACCCACATAGAAGAACTGACTGTCTTCACATTTGTGTTGAAAATTCGAATCTTGTTACTGAAGCTGGTTGAATGCAGAAGATTTCCAAAATGGTTTCAGGTTGATGAAAGCGTATCTTGCCTCTCCGGTCCTGACTGGCTCTGACATCTTCGTCCGTTCCGCCTGTATTTGAAACGATGCCTTCTAGCCAGATAAGTGAAGGAGGCAACCTTTATTAAATCTTCTCCGTTGATGGTGACTGGTGCTGGTTGTTGTTGTAGTTGATCTGTTATCTTCATCACTTCTGTCTTCTCTGTGTTCACCTTCAGTCCTGTCTTCTCTGTACTGCCTCTTCAGCCAGTTTGTTGGTTTACGCTTGCAAGTCTTCGAGTCTGTGTGACATTAGACAAATATCATCTGCGAAATCCAGATCTTCTGGAGTTTTCTTATCCGTCGTCCAGCGTATTCCTGACTCCTCGACCCCAACCAGTTCACCACAATGAAGAATATCACCGGTGGTAATAGGCAAGTAGCTTGTCTTACTCCTGTATGCACTTCGAACGCCTAGCTGAGTTTTCTGTTTTGGATCACTTGACACGTGGGCCTGAACCATGAAGGAGAACTAATATGCTATTAGTATTCACAATCCGAATCTTATTCCTCATGTTGACTGCTGTAGATTTCCATAATGATTTCACAGTAATGAAGGTTTCTCCTGCTTTCCTGATCCTAACCTTGACATCCTCATCTATACCGCCTGTAGTTGAAACAATGTTGCCATTCTACTGGGAACGATTTCAGAAACATTCTAAAACAGTCAGTGGCAATGGTTAAAATTCGCTCTTGTCACTATGATACACATTTTCTCCAAAAATAATCCCACCTAAAGTTGTATAAAATTACATAGATACATAATTCTACAGCAACCAAATTGTACTTTCTAAACATGTCACTTTTACTATGACAATCTTCCCAGCACAAAGGTTGATGTTGGATAGTTGGAGGCTATCGGCTACGGAAAGCCTTCGACCTAGGTTTCGTACTATTTGGCACTCACCAGTCAATCAGTAAGGCGCATCTACAACCTTGAAGGAACTCATGTCCCTTCTGAGACTAAAACCCGCGTCATTCAGTGCTACAGTTAGAGACGTTACTTAGAATGATGGCCACATTGCAAACCTGACTGACAGAATTCAGTCTGCACCAAACAACGGACTAGACATCACACTAGTCACCAATGTCCAACGAAAGCAACAGGGAGGGTGTTAGTGACATTTAAGAAATCGAAGATTAACGTTGAACAGATTTGCCAATCTACCATGAAAAGTGGAAATCTACAAAATACTGTTCCATACTAGAGTAAAGGAACAACTCAATTTCATAATATTAATCTGATACTTACTAGGTTAATTCTGAAGTTTGTTCAACATTTCATATGTGTCCTGTTAGCGACTGTTAACGTGGTTATGTATAACTTAGAGGTATTAGACACTGGAAAACTTGTTACATATGTTACTTAGCTCTAGGAGAATGAATACTACGTGCATTTATGAAACATAATCTAACCTTGAGATTCTTTTTTTACGACAATGTGAACAGTACAGCACGCACACACACACATGAAGTTGGACTCAAAAAACAGCAATCCAATGAAATGTTTCTGTTTGTGTCGTAATTTTCATTAAAAAAAAAGATGTACACCAGTTCTTTGTAAAACGAAACATAATCATCTGTACAACACACTAGTTGTCCTTGTTGTAGAATCATGTGCTCATTCAACATCAGCTGACTGACTGTCTCCCACCAGTGTGAATAAGGACGAAATATTTGTTTTATGTAGTTGGTTGTTAAAATTTCTACATTGTAAACTATTATTTCGAATTTACTCTCTATAACATATGTATTCCAAAACATGTATGAATGATAGCTGAACAACTATTCTAGCTATTTCTACTTTCACTTCAATTATCAGCTGCCTTCCTGTCTTTGTTTGTTTTTGGTTGCGCGTATAAGTGAATTAATACAAAGTTACTGGTGTATACATCAAAGACAGGTGTATTACAGACATATACCACTGTCCAATAATATCTTGTAACGTGTATTAAAAATTCCGCGAATTGATAGAAAGGATATTTAACTTGTAAGTGAAAACAACTTCTAGGCATTGCAGATTATTTCAATGCATGAGATCATACTACTTTTATTCTCTTGTTCAATTATCAATGTTGAATGCATTAAAATTGGATCATTTAACATACAAGTGTTTGGACAGAATAAAGTTTCTAAAACGGATGTTTTATCAATACTCGTTAAGGTTTGTACATAACATATTACCTTGAAATAATTGAAATAAATTTCTACTATTAAAGATATTATCTCGATATGATTTAATTGTAGTGCAAGAAATTCGTGATGCTAAGAATACAGCATTCAGACATCTTGTAGATGAATTAAATAGGTTAGTGAAAGTGATTCTGATTGGTTGGAATTATTATAATCATCCATTGCCTTTTAGGTATACTAAAGGAAATTACAAGTTTGTAATAAGTGAGAAATTAGGTCGAACAAATTCAAAAGAACAATATGGTGTGATTTATAAGTGAGTTTTTCAACATTTTACACAATTTCTTTTCCATGTTGATGTATACTGATAAAAAGTAACTCACTGAGAAAAATATTAATGAAGATATGACCAATATGTGCATAAACCACTAGGATTGGAGGATTCTGCCTGATCATAAAGGTTTATTAAAATTCTTTCTAGGATAGTGGTATAGCTTGGCTATTATTTTGGATATCGTAATGACTTTTATGCTGAGTTATTTTACGTAGGGAGTTATAGTTTTCGGATAACATGTTGTTTAGCCTACTTAGTCAGTACTGGAAGATCGTGGGCCAGTAGATTACGATCCACTCTCTGAATAAAGTGTTCATCTGAGAAGTTGACGGTCCTAGACAAGATTCTTCAAGGATTTGTGAATATGCACCACTAAGGAGTTATGAGGGGAGAATAGATAGTGAAGTTAAACGAATATTCGTATCACCAACGTCTGAACAATCAGGAAGAGTTGTGCGTCCAGGGGTGATACTGGAGGAGATCGTGTGAGAAGGAGATGAGAGTTTTGATAAAATTTTGAGACGAGTTCAAGGGGGCTGTACTGTTGAAGCTCTATGTTCCACTCGGAACCCAAGGGAATAATAAATAAAAGTTATTTTTAGATAACAAAGTAGTTACAGTTTAAAATCAAGATTTACATTAATTAATGACGAGTAGTTTTGTAGATTTACTAAGCAGACTTCATCCTGAAATACAATAATTTCATAGAGGATTTCTGGGTACCTACAAAGGAGAACACTTGATATTAACAGATCCTGAAAGGATATTTTCTACAGACGTTTAGATGAATGCATACTTCAGGTATGTTTCTGCGTTTGTATCGACACTCTAATGAAAAACTGTGATGTAATTTTTGCAACGTGTCACTGAACGATATCCCGTTCATTTCTGTACTTTTTTGAACACTATTAAGTATACTATTTTCCCTGCTAAATATGCCTTTCCAGGGTTATTGGTGGTTTTAAGGTTATTGATGCATTCGTTCACTTGAATCATGGTCGTGCTATCTCATGAATTGGCAGAAGTTGGAATTATTGGGTTGGTCGTTGGATTTGTTCCCAGTGGCTTAATGGTCTAAGAGCTCGTTAGTCTTGTAACCAGAAGGTCCTGCATTCGCAACCCATGTGGTGGATGTGCACTGGTGAAGAGCCTTAAACTAGGTCGAAACAGCTATTTAGTACTCCCACATTGTCCAATCATTCTCTTGCGGATTCCAGCTCATGATGAAATCCTGTAATCAACCAATTAAATCCCCACGAACCAATACTCGAATCGTTATTTATTTATTTTTTTTATTTTTTATTTTTATTTTTGATTACAGCATGATTCCACACCGTATTTTTGGTACAATTGTGGAATTTTCAGCATGGATATCGGTAGCCCAAAATTCGCAGGCCTACCATAGACATCAGGTGTGCGTCGGCGTGGGCTCGAACCCCGGACCATGTGCATGATCGGCGAGAGTCCTAACCACTGTGGCACCGACGCACACTGTTTAACTTCACTGAATAAATAACTTTTCATCTATCCTTTTCTTTAATGTTTATTCTAACTATCAATTAAAATTAACTAAGATTTTGATAACTCTAATTTTATTTAGTTCTTATATAAAGGTGTGTTATTGATTTAACTGATATTGATTTATTGACTGAAATGTTTCTGAGCTCTAGAAGTTTTGATCTGTTTCTATGTATTCTCATGCTTCTTATTTTACGTTGTTTCAAAGTGTTCACAACTAATTTAGATAACTAAAACTATTCCATACTGATACAATTGTAATTTATTGTTCATTCTACGATTCATCAACACCATACAATAAGAGCTAGGTGGTTATGGGGCCAGTTAAAAGTGACGGCAAAGAACTGACAACACTGGATATGTGCTGCTAAAGCCGTATATTCCACTTAGAATGCAAGGAATGAATATTAATAATACAGTAAAGGCATCTGTTAGTTGTAAGGTTGACAGGTGACTGATTCATTTAAAATTAGGTTCTGTAACCGACTAACATCACTCAGGGAAGTAGTTGGAAGCGATAACTTCAGAGCAGTGCACGTTAATGTCAGTGCAAATGATAGAGTTCGCAACCATCATATCTAATGATAAGAAAATGATCATTCATTCACTCGGCTGAAGTTAACTTTTGTTCATTTCTGTTACTTCAGGCAGTTTAAAAACAAGAACGATTGTGAGTGTCGAAGGGTTCGACATAACACCTAATAGTTTCAGGTTTGTTGTTGTTGAATGAGGTTGCAGATTCATATTGCAGGAGATTTACAAGAATATAGCTAAATGACTATCTAGTCCACCTTGATTTCCAGTGTTTATTTAACCAGTGGTTGTTAAATGTGAAGAATCAATTCAAGGATGAAAATTCTCGTGAATTCTACAGTAGATTGTAATAAATACAAATATCTAGGTGTTTGGTGTATGAGGATCTCGTTGCTTTCTGTTCGTGATGAAATCTACCAAGGCATTGATGTTTTTATCATATAGTTTCACCTGTATACAAGCATAACAATTTTTCTGTTTTAGACCAGATTTAATCAGAATTGGAAAGATGGTAACGTTTGACAATAAAAAGAATCTATTTGAGAGACCACCAATGGCTGTAGAAGTACATACAACTAGTTCAGGTATATCTAATGGAAACATGTTTATAATAAATATTTTATTGATTATTATCATCGTTTCAGCGATTCCAATGTTTGCTTTAGTTGTAGTACATTTGGATCCAGATAGTGTCTTTGAAGAAGTAAATAATCTATACATTTTTGTTAAGCATATTATCAAAGTCTGGCATACACAGGTTAGTGGTTTAACTTAGTTCTAAATTCAATAATTTTGTTAATTATATAATAATGCTAACTTAGTATGAGAAAAGATTTTCATTTTAGGTGAATTGTTTCTCTGTTTTTTTATACCCCAATTACTCCTCCACTTGCTTGATGATATCAGGTTCAATGTCATCACTGAATATCCTAACGGAACTATATGTTTACCAAAATGATTCACTCTATCTCTTTCTGCCTTTTTGATTATATAATGGAAAATCCCCATTGAGACATATAGAAAATCAAAACAAGTGATTCAGCGAAGAGACTCTTTACAGGGAATTTCATCATCAAGCTGTACAGTCGTGTATAAATATGGTTTTTAAGAAATTATATCCGGAAAGGGAGTGGAATAAATAAATAATAATAGTGTTATGAAAAGCAATTAAAATGTTTGCGGTTATAATCATAGTTCAATGTGAAGTGGCAAAACAACTAATGTCATATACAGAACAATTCAGAGGATTAGTAGGTAAATATAATAACAATAAAAGCATTACATAACATTGTCTGAAATTTGATAAGATAGAATTTAACGCTGCAAAGCGAAATTGATTTAGAATGACAAGTGGAACAAGCGAAACTATACAGGGGACAATTCAAAGTAGTAACAATTGACCTAATAAAGGAAGAGTATACAAAGTGAATAAACGAAACGAGAAATAGGTAGAGCCAAAATATGATTAGGGATTACCATACTTTAGCATAGAGGGATTAAGACCAGACAGTTGAAGGAGTTGAACGAACTTTTTCTTTTTACACAGATCTGGCTTTTCTGCTTCAATAGTCAAATCTTCAGAAATGCAGATGAGTCAGGTAATTAGTGATTTGGGGAAATTACCTTTCGCCTTGTAGATGACTTTAAAGGTGGAGGCTGTAGAGATAGAGCAGATGTTCAACGATGGCATTACTTATTGATCCACTTCCACCTCTTCATAAGCACGCAAGATAGTATTCTTGCACCCTCTTGGACAAAACTCGAGTCGAACGACCGATCTGTCTGGCTCTACACGATTAGGTGAATCGATAAACACACATAGAGTTGGTCAACTGAAGGATCTTGTCCTTCAGGTTATTCAACAGTAATAGTAGACTGGAAAATGCTATTCTCAGTGATGCATCAGGGAATATCCTTTTCAGGGACCGTGAGATTCTTCTTTTAATGATATCGGAAGCTCAGTCACCTTTGAGTTCCAAGCTCATATACAGTATTTTCTTGGTTACGGGTGGTAAGTCACATTTCATAGGTTTTGACAGTTCATTCTTGTCAATAAAACTTGGCGGATAAATATCCAGAAGATTGTTGTAATCATTTACTGTAAGTGAAAACAGTCTGCTACTAAGGTGGCTCCAGAAACAGAAATATGTTTTGACTGGAAATGTAACAACTGAAGGTAAAACGAAAATCTGTGTTACAGCAGGATTCGAAACGGCAACGTTATGATTACTGGCTTATTGCTATATCAGTTGACGTGCGAGGTACTGGATTCGTTTGTAGACTTAAAACTTACTTCCTTTTGCGCAACAGTGAGATAGATTATTGTTAGGACATGTTTCTTTCAGCTGACCTCTTGTTTATCAAGTTCAATTCTAAATTCACATAACTCAATTGCAATTTACTATTTTTTGTTTTGTGTTAACTGTCGAATTACAGTTGTCAAGCAAAGTCAAAAAATACTACGAGGTAATGAGTTTAGCGTTCTAGTGAACAAGATACATTAACCCGTCGGCAGCCTGTATTCCGAAACAGACGCAATTTTAAAGCAGAGTATGGACCTATTAAACCTATAGGTTATTCATTGATTTAGTCTGCTGATAACTATCATATCTAATTTAATGGCTCCTTGTAGGCTGACTAGAGGTGTAACAACTAATTGAAATGGCAAGAAGTAAAGTAAACAAGATTGCATTCACTAGCTACATGTTGTTTTATTCTACCTTTTACCTTCTAGGGTTTTAAAACTGATATTATTTAAAGTCTTTTTCACCTTACAGTTTATCAGAATGTATGGATTACAGTAAGTTTGCTTTTATAAGTTGTTATACAGCATCAGTTTCAATTAATTACCCGCTGTCTAGTATGTTGTGTTTAATCGTGCTTCATGCCTCTAATACTTATTCGACTAAGGTTAGACTTATGAAGCATTTCGGACTTTAGAAGCACAGGGACGGGTACACCGTCAGCAGTATCTATGTATGTATGAATCATACTTTGATGGTTGTAAGTGCTACGAAAATGAAACTCAACTTACAGTTGACGTTCAATCTCTTGTTTGCTTCTACTAAACTGATTGTATTCAATTCATACGTTCACATGTTGGTCACCATTTCTTATATACCACCGAGATTTTAATCACTAAACCTTGATGGAGGAATATTTACTCATAAAGAGACAGTTTAAATGGAAGTGAATTGTTTTCATTTCCTAAATGCTAAAAATCTCATTTTCCTTATTTTGTTTATACCTTAGAATGTTCTTATTCTCGGAGATATGAACGCGGATTGTGGTTATCTATCGAAAAGGAAAATGAAACAGATACATTTACGTACAGACACGGAATTCGTTTGGGCTATTCCAGATCGTCATGATACAACTTTAGGCAAAGGTAATTGTGCTTATGATAGGTAAGCAAAAGCTAAAGGTAAAAGTAACACATTATTCTTCTTATTAAAGTATCAGTGATACAATATTTCAATTTTTCGGCATGAAAAACTCTGATTATTTGTCATAAAAAGTCATCAACTATTGAGTTTAGAAGCATGGGAAGAAAATCAAGTTTGTTAAATAGTTACCCTAACTACTCAAATGAAATGGCATTAAGATTTGTTACCTTTCTTCAAATCTTTTGTTTTGTTTTGAGTATTGTGTATATTGAGTACACATACATCCACTCTGTTGACCACACAAAGATAATCTTTCACATCAGGTTGAATACAACATCTGGTAGGAAAACTTCTGTTTTTGTTACAAGTTGTGGTGGACTTTAAGAGTTCGGCTACACTATACGGTGTCATTCTTAAGAGTAGTCAAATATCTCACAAACACATAATAAACCTTCTAGGTGTTGTCATCTAAAGAATCGAAAATATCACCTGTCCGACCTGAATCCCCACAGGTTTTTTCTTTATAATTTTTTTTCCTTCACATCCCCAGCGGAACATTGGGCCTCAAGCTAGTGGCTTGAGGTTTCTGTAGCAGTGTTTATTTTACAGGATGGGGTTGCTAGCATACTGCCCAACCTTTCCTCTTTACCTGGCTTAGCGAGGTAAAGGAGTGCGTCGACTGAGGATCGAACCCGGGACCATGTGCATGGTCAGCGAGCGTCCTAACCGCTGTGCAACTGACGCACTATTATTATTATTATTTTGTTTATAAGACTGAATTCAAATGAGAAATATGTTGCTTAACTTGATGCTCATCAGTCGCTACATTCAGTGCTATTCAACTTAAACATAATTTGAGAACATTTATTTCCCGATACGAATTTAAAACAAGCAATAAGTGTGAATAAAGCAGTATTCAATGAATTCATCAAATTTCGGTAGAACTCGTCAGCTGATGAATACTCTACATACACAGATATATATACTTTTGAAATTACATTGGGAGATGTAAGACTGATAAGTAAACAAACTACATTGAATTAGTCATGCAGAAAGACACGTGCGAATGTTTTCCAGGTCATGTTCAAATAGATAAGGGGAGAGAGAGTATGAGATCAAAATTAAGATAAATTGCATTACGCTTCGATTGCATCACTTAGATAAACAATTAGACATTGGAGAATATAACAAGAATTGCAAACAGAGTAATATCAATAGTAATGATTATAATAACAATAATAATAATAATAATGTTGAAGGGAGTTAAGATAATCCTACTGATAAAGGATAGTTTTAAATGAATCAAGAATAATAATAATAGGTAGAATAATAAGTAAAACGTATTACCATGGTAGATTCAGAGTCACGACCATCTCCTTTTGTACACAGAGACCTGGTTTATAAACTCGAATTGCACAAGCCTCTGCGATTGCAAGCACCTTCTTGTTTCTTTGTCTCTGACAATGGTGAATGACTTGACCGCGTCGATATCATGTCCGTAATCCACAAGATGTTTTGTTATTGAGAATTTTGGCACTTCGCACTCAGCTGTTTTCAACCATTTTGGCAAATGGTCCATCATGGAAGCAACTTAACATGTCGTAGGGAAAGGCGATTGTCTACTCGCATGATGGACATTTGCCAAAATGGTTGAAAACAGCTGAGTGCAAAGTGCCAAAATTCTCAATAACAAAACATCTTGTGGATTACGGACATGATATCGACGCGGTCAAGTCATTCACCATTGTCAGGAGACAAAGAAACAAGAAGGTGCTTGCAATCGCAGAGGCTTGTGCAATTCGAGTTTATAAACCAGGTCTCTGTGTACAAAAGGAGATGGTCGTGACTCTGAATCTACCATGGTAATACGTTTTACTTATTATTCTACCTATTATTATTATTCTTGATTCATTTAAAACTATCCTTTATCAGTAGGATTATCTTAACTCCCTTCAACATTATTATTATTATTATTGTTATTATAATCATTACTATTGATATTACTCTGTTTGCAATTCTTGTTATATTCTCCAATGTCTAATTGTTTATCTAAGTGATGCAATCGAAGCGTAATGCAATTTATCTTAATTTTGATCTCATACTCTCTCTCCCCTTATCTATTTGAACATGACCTGGAAAACATTCGCACGTGTCTTTCTGCATGACTAATTCAATGTAGTTTGTTTACTTATCAGTCTTACATCTCCCAATGTAATTTCAAAAGTATATATATCTGTGTATGTAGAGTATTCATCAGCTGACGAGTTCTACCGAAATTTGATGAATTCATTGAATACTGCTTTATTCACACTTATTGCTTGTTTTCCAGCTTAAATGACTGTATAAATCTAGACACATATTAGGTGCGCAATGATGAAGAGTCCCCAACTGGGCTGACTAAACAGATGTCTGGTACTACCAGCTGGTCTTCCGATGGTTTTCTAACAGATATCAGTTCTAGATGAAATCCTGTAACCAATACGATTTTCTTATGATCTAATTACAAATCTCACAAATATTTGGAGTATGACCTACTATGCTCTAACTAGTTCAGTGAATCTTGTATTCAATTGATGACACGAATTGGAAAAAGCAATCTAAAATTGATGGGAAAATGTCACATTTTCGGTTTAACCAAGTGGTAAAAGAATGTTAACAGTATAGTAGTACTTGTTACTGCATGATGACTGATAAAGTTAGCGAAATAAAATGTTCTTAAAAGTGTAAATGGATGCTCCTTAGACAATTTAAGCTAAGAGATAACACTGTTAAGTTCACCTTCTAACTGGGTTATTTGTATAGTAAGTGTGTGCTTCGGTAGTTCAATTGTTTAATTCTCATCAACCACATAGGAAGTCCGGTTTTGACTCGTATTCGATAGATTCCTGAACCTTGCTTAGTTTACTACTCAGTAATATGTTTTGACAAGAAGAAAGGTTGGGTATGAAACCAGAGACTTCGCTTGCCAAAAACAGCATTACTGCTGAAGTTTGAAGCCCTATGTTCTCGAAATACAAGGAATAAAGAAATTTTAAGAATGAAGTAAACATTCAACCTAATTATGAAGTAGACTTGAGTAGATTTTTCATTTTATTTCTTAAGGACCATGAAAACTGAAAAATCCAAGTTTGATCACAGATTGATGTTAGTTGAAGAACCATTAAAAACCAGCGAGCACTGCACCTTTGTTTCGTCCTAGTTTAAAAATCTTCAGCAGCACGCATACATCAGGGTTCAAAACTTGAAGTAAATCAAATCCCTACAAGCCAACTCTTGAAAATTAGTCTGATGTTCGCTAGTGACTTCCTACAGGACGAAGTTGACTGATGTTCTAGTGACAAGCCGTGACCAATGGGGTTCACCAGGCAGAGCATGAGGAAAAATACCTGCTGATAACAACGACTGGTGGTAGTGCTCAAATAGTGGATTTGTAGAAACTGAAATTCAAAGCCCAATGAATCGGATCGCACTGGTCGAATAGTTTACAAGGTCCCCTTGTACCAAGAAGTTCCAGGGTTCTAAGTCCTGTGGATGGGCTATGCTAAAGAGTCCCAGAATAGGTCAAGACAGCTGTCCAGCATTCCATAGTTTTCAGTAGCTCTCTAACTGATATCAATCTGTGATCACAACTGAAACAAATGGAATCTCTACAAACTAACTAATGAAAACTGAATGTTGTTTGACTACTTAAATAAGACAATGGATTATAATTTGATTCGTATTATTGTAGCTTGTTTCATTAAATAAATTTTTCATAATTTTACAGCTGTACACCAGTATTCATCTTCTCAATGTTGAACAGTTCATCTTCACAGGTAGAATTCATGGCTTCATAGAACCACTCAATTTCAGCTAATTACATTTATTGATTTACAATGATCAGTTTTCAAGTATTGGTTTGTTGGGAATTTGTTTTATTGATTGGAGCATTTCATCATCAATTGATATCGGTTAGAGGACCATTGGAAAACCAGCTGGGAGTACTGGACAGCTGTTTCATTAGCATAGTTTGGGACTTTCATCAGTACGCACCCACCGTCAGGGTTCGGACTCAGGACCTTCTGGTTACAAGCCGAGCTCGTAGACCATTGAGCCACTGGGACCTGATCCAATGGCTTATGAATTACAACTTCTGCCAATTCACGACATAGCGCTACCACTTCTCAGTGTCTTCGATCCTCTGTACCCTATTAGTCCAGTAGGGTACTTCCAGGTTTTCCATTGCTTCTCCAACCGATGTCAGCTCATGATGAAATACTCCAACCCAACAATGATTGGTCTCAAGTAAGAAAAAAAGTGGACGACTGTGTTTATAGTTACTTTAAACAGCATTCTGTTATGTAAGTTTATATAAGTTTGTGTAAATATGTTGTATTAGGTTTCAGACACTAGAAATTCATGTTATCACATTACCAGAAAGTAATTTCAGATTCTTTAAACACTATGATAACAAAAATTAGGGTTTTTATTAATTCCTCCAATTGATCAGCTACTTTCTGATTGATATGAACTAGTAACTTTTAATTTGCTTCATTCCGGAAATGTTAAATGAATCAAAAAAGGAAATAAATGGTGAATTATATTTATAATTTTATTATTATTCAATTTGTAGAATAATTATACATGGGAAACAACTGAAACAAGCTGTCAAACAAGGAAGTGCAAAAGCTTATCATTTTCCAAGCGAACTACAAATTGATAATAAATTGGTAAGGCAGAGTGACTTGTTCATTTTTAAAAATTAATTTAGCAATTGTTAGTTAATCGTTCATTCTATTATCACACTGTTATTCTCATTACTATTGTGATAACATCACAAACTCGTAAGTTGTGCGTCCGTTGTTCAATGGCAGTTTGCTCGTCAGCCATGTGAGAGGTCCAAGTTAGATTACCGGAAGACCTACTCCCGAATTACCCTTGGTTGATTGGCGGGTAGTAAACCCGGAAAAGAAGGAAGGTTGGACTTGAAGCTATCAACCTCAGTGGTAAAAAAGAGACCACCTGTAGTGAAACTTCATAGTCTGAAGCCCGATGTTCCACATGGGACGTTAGGAATAAAAAACAGTGAACTGACAAGATATTCTTATACAGAAGATCACAGGACCACATATTTGCCGTATCCATAGTAACAAGTTGTGTGAACTTGTTACATTACATAATCATATAGCTTTATTTGGTTCTGGGTCCTCCCGCCTCAAAATACATGAAAAAAAATACTGCAGTCTGCTTTACAATGTAACACATGCATACATTGATGCAGATGGATAAAAACCTATAATTTCTGTAAGAATAGCACTTGTGCACTGTGGTAGAGTATAATCCCACAGTGTAATGCAGTAATATTTACTGATGACCACCTTTCTAGCACAATTTATTATTACTCAGAATCCTATCAAACCTCACCTAGACTACTAGCTTGCTAGTTTTCTAGCCGGTCCCAAGCCCGGATAAAGAGATTTTCCTTACGATTTGATGTTACAGAAATTAGCGCTGAAAGAAAGCTTATTATTTTTTATTGTTCCCTTTGGTTCCTAGTGGAACATAGGGCTTCAACTGCGCATCCCCACTTGTTTCTGTCTTCTGCTGTACTTTTCACCTGTTTCAACTCCTCTTCACTCGATCTCCTCCATGTCACTCTTGCACCGACGACCCACTCGCCGCTTCCCGTTCAGTCAGCTTCCACTCGAGCAATGGCCTAACGCGTGATGTCACCAACCAGCCTCCTCGGCGAGTGTCCAATCCATCTCCACTTTCTCCCGCATATTTGTTGGCCGATTGGTTCTTGTTTAGTTTCTTCCCATAGTTCCTTATTGGTGATTCTTTCCGGCCTGATCTTGAGTAAAGAGCGAAGACAGTTTTTGATAAAGGTAACGTCTGCAACAGGCTGTTGGAAATATTCTTTGTGACCCGCCCGCCAACTTTCTGATCCGTATAGAAGAACTGACTGACTTGACGTTTGTATTGAAAATCCGACCGAATTTTGTTGTTGATGGCGGCTGAGTGACGAAGATTTCCAGATTGGTTTCAGGTTGATAAATTTGTGTGTGTTTCTTGCCTTCCCTATTCTCGTTCGATTTGACATCCTCGTCCGTTCCGACTTCCTGTAGTTGAGACAATGCTCAATTCTAGATAAGTGAATGAAGTGACCTCTTTCAAATCCCTTCCGTTGATGGTGATTGGTGCTGGATGTTGCTGCTGTTGTAGTTGTTGTCGGTTGGTTATTTTCATAATCTCCGTCTTGTCTATGTTAACCTGGAGTCCTATCTTCGCCGGCTGCTTCTTCGACCAGTTTGTCGGTTTTCGCTTGTAACTCTTCAATTTTGTGCGACATCAAACATAAATCATCCACACGCGAAATCCAGGTCTTCTAGGTTCTTCACGTCGGTCAGGATATCCCTGTCTTACATTTATGTGTTACATTAATAAAACTTTAAATCGGTTCGTAATAGGGTGCCAGTTATTTCGTTCTCTGTAGTCTTCTTCAGCTGGTTCTAAGACTGCTCATCAGCTTTAATCCCCCCACACGGTCTCCTCTATGTCACAAACGAACCCACGCGTAACTTCCTGCTTCTAATTCGGGTTCCACTAGAAGTCCTGGCGCCCAACATCACTCAACGATCTTCTCAGCGTGTCTCCTATCCATCACCATTTCCTTCTGCGTACTTGTTAGACAATATATTCCTGGTTGGCCTGTTGTCAAAGTTCCTTCTCCTTTCTAGCAAGCCATCCGATCTTTAGTACTGATCAAAGTAAGCTGTTAATGAAAGTCTGTAATGGCTGTTGTCTCTGAAACAAAAAGAAGCGGTGACTTGACATTAGTGTTGAAAATTCAGGCCTCGTCTATTGTTCTGAGTGAAGCAGATTTTTCCGGTGATTTTAGTGTCTCGAAGGAAGTTTAAGCTGGAGTCAATGAAATGAAATAAGTGAAGATCAGATCAGAGGAAGTGAATGTTATTACAAGCCCTCATGATTTATCAAACGTTAGTTCACAAATGGTTATTCTTAGGCATACAGACAATCAGTAATTATTAGAGTGAATATAGATTTTGGTCAGCTATTATTAAGCCATTTTCATAATAAGACTTCAAATTGAACTGAGGAAACCATTTACAGTAAGGCACTATTAGTACTTCAGTGAAAAATGTCTGTAGTAGGCAAATTTGATGAAATCACAGTGAAATAACTGTCATTAATAGTTCTTATGAAACACTATTGTTTCCTTTTAAAATGGCTCAGTCTTTTGTAGACATCACGTTTCTACAGTTTCCCGCCTATTTTGATTTCTGATAATTTTTTGATCAGTGTTACTTTATACGAAAACTTATTAAGAAGATATCAGTAAAACTCTAAAATTTTAACTTGAACAAGATGATATTGATTCTTGCAGCCAGAGTTTTCATTGGATTACTATCGCATTATCATCGATTCACTATTAACTCTTAAATGTGTAAATAAGTCAACCTCACTTCCATCTGACAACTGTTTGCAGTGTTGTCGGATGACTAAAGCTATTTAAAGATAATTATGAGCATGGCTTTGCCAATAATCACAATGATTTTATCGCACGATAGATAGTATTTCTTTGAATAAAGTTTCTTGACTACATGTTATTTATGTTCAGTATAAATATAACACGCAGATCAATAAAGTGCACACAAAACAATTAACACTTACATGTGGGTGAACATTTCTAAATGACGGTAAAAGTCACTGTAACAGGGGATTTTGTGGATAGTATCTGGAGCTTTTAGTATTTACCCAAAGGCTCAAATAATACACAGTTTTCTTCGGGATCTTCAGGGGTTAAGTCCTGGAGGAATGAGTTACGATAACCGCTCCTTGCATCCATTGTTATACTGATGTTTTTCCTTGTCATTATCAATTAATAGCAGCAAAATAACCAGCATTTGTTAATACACAATTCTTGTAGGGATCCAAACATTTCTAAACGCTGAAATATTTCTGATGTTACTTTTGTTTACATTGTTCTACCATACTTTTTTTTCTGCTGCAGGCGAAACAAGTCAGTGATCATTATCCAGTTGAACTGGAGCTTTATTAGGCTAATCACAACCTCTTCTTGAATTTCAAAACTATTTTGTCAATGTTTACTTGTACAGGGAGAAGATAATACATGTATTCGGTACACTATTCCAGAATCTCATACCTTTCTTATAACATAACAATCATTTTTTTTGTAATTTTTTGCTTATATGATGTAAATATATGAAAAAAATCAGACTTAATACATTATCTCATTGTTTCATATTATCGTATTTCTAAAGTTCTTATGTCATCGTTAAACAAACAATAAGTTGAAATTTATAACAGTTAATGATAAAACTAGCGGAAACAAAGACGAATGAGTGAATTTGTGAATAAGAGTAGATAAACAGGAGTTTAATTCCTTGAAAACTATGGGATCTAATTTTCCAAACCTCTATGGATTACCTAAAATTCATAAGGTTGACAATCCATTACGTCTATTACATCTTTCAGTGTGTAACTCTCCTACACACAAATTAGAAAAATGGTTAGCTGATATTTTTAAGTCCAGTACGCAATGAATTATGTAACTTTACTTTGAAAGATACATTTGAACTTGTTGACTGTCTTGTAGATATGAACATAAAAGATAGGAAAATGTATTCATTTGATGTCAATTCTTTGTTTACTAATTTACCATTGGTTAAAACTGCTGATATTCTTTGTGACTATATATCTTCTAGTTGTTTTTCATTTCCTTTTCCTTTAAATTATTCGAAAGATTTATTATTATTATTATGTACTGACAACGTCCATTTCACGTTTGAAGGCGAACATTTTCGACAAGTAGATGGCGTTGCTATGGGGAGTCCATTGGGACCTTTGTTAGCGGACGTTTACATGTCTTATGTTGAAAACTTATCCCTTGATTTAATTTCAAAATTGCCCTTCTATAGGAGATATGTAGATGATATCATTTTGATATGTGACGATCATGAAGATGCGAATCGCCTATTAGACAGACTTAACCCTGTACAAAATCATATTAGTCTTACATGCGAGGAAGAAAGTCGCAACCAGCTAGCATTTTTAGACATACTTCTGAGTCGAAGAGATGATGGTTCAATAAGACGGTCTATCTACACAAAGCCCACTTGGACAGGGCAATACCTTAACTTTCACAGCTTCTGTCCATTACAGTACAAGAGAGGCTTGGTGAAGCGTCTATTTAAGAGGATTCAGTGTATTTGCACGGCTGATGTTATACACAAAGAAAACGAAATATTGATGAATACTCTTGTTGAAGACGGATATCCTTTAAAATTTTTAAACAGGTGTAGAAGTCAACTAGCCTCTAAACCTACAAACCATACCGTTCCTAAGAAAAAGGTTTTCATCAAATTACCATATAACGGGAAAATAAACAGTAGGATTGTGAGACAAAGGTTGAATTCGATCATCCGTAGAACCTACTATGCAGCCCAGCTAGTAATTGTGGAAAAAGCCAAAAATATGCTTCACTTCAAACCTCAAAATTGCACAAGTGATTATATCACATCCCACACAATTTACCGATTTTCGTGTGTGTGTGGACACACATACATAGGGAGGAGTAATCGCGCTTTGCACGTGAGGGTGGGAGAGCATATCCCAAAATGGTTAGAAAAACAGATGAATTGTGACAACCCAATAGATGCAGGTGTCAGACTACCAACTTCGTCTATAACTAAACACCTAATCGAGATGAACCATAAGATTGATGTTAACTCAGCCTTTAAGGTCGTTTACTAAAATACGCTGAGGCTATAGCTATTCATAAACTTAAGCCCCCCTTATGTATTCAAAAACAATTTGTTATTACTCTTAACCTACACCTTGGTAATCCTTATTTGATTGGATTACCAAACGTTTGTGTTAATGATTCTTAATTCTTGTTTTATCACTTTGTTTAATTTAACTTTTCCATATATATATATATATATATATATATATATATATATATATATATTGACTAGACAAGTAAATGTGTGATCAGATTGTTCAAAATGTATAGCGCAAATACATCACAGTTTTCAGATAATCTCCGTCTTCTAATAACGCTATCAAAATTTCTAAAAGGGACTAAGTGTTTTAAATAAGAGTAGAACTAATTGCTTATTAAAGTAAGTGGAGTGAATGGACCACAATTGGGCCTACTGCCGTCGAAGCAAGGTTTAGGATTACCTCCCGAGGCAATCAGACCCGAAACACACGAGTGATTTGCGACCATTCAACCAATCGAAAGTCATGAAAAGAAGACATGAAAGAAAAAAAGAACTTCTATTTTGTGTGAGATATTTTCAAAAGCTGTACAATTGGATTTATATTCAACTGAGAAATCATAAAGCCAGCCGAATACCGGTAATTATGAAGAAGAGAAAGGAAGTTTAAAATAGAGGAACCAGGAATGTTACTGCATTAAAGGTGTGAAAATGACCTAATCAACTTGAATGTACAAAAATGGAAATGAGAGTGGAATAGTACGTAGTATTTATATAAACTCTTAATGAGAAAAGATATATTTTTCCCCAAAAACAGACCATAAATTATATTAAAAGCCATTCAAGGTACACGTGAGTACTGATTCCCCTCTAGGAAGGTAATAACAAATTGTAACTGAGCAAATTTGACTCATTGAGCTCGGTGGAAAGTTAGGTAACCCAGTGATCCAAGTAACACGTTGTAGTGGGTAATAAGAAGAACTAAACATCAAATAGTAAAATGAAAAATAAAATAGCGATGGAAATATAACTGTGCCCATGTTACAGGGAGCAATTTTATACTAATTCTCCACTTTGAAATAAGACTTCATTTCCTAAGTTAGCATCGATTCACCTGTTTATAAGTGGTGTATTCAAAGTTCTCTAATGCGAAACTGCAGAACTTTGTGGATCACTGAGTGCAGGCACCCGAAGTCAAGAGTTTGAATGGTTATCTTGAGCCGGATAACTAAAATTCTTCTTCTCTTCTATGCCTACCTAAACGAAATTATGTCCCACAGCACGCCTGCAGGGGTTGGCGCTGTGTATATAGGAAAACGTTAACTGATAAATAAACACTGAGATGGCCAGAAGCAGTATTTTTTACCTAACATATGGATCAACTAATCGTTTAGTATGGAATGCAGTTCTGTCGATACACTAAAGTGAAACATTCTTTTTCAACTACTTGTAGAGACAGATTTTAAGAATTTCGGATTCACTGTCACTCATGAACTCCAGGTTGATGAAAAGGGCTTACTTGGTGACCTTGAACACAACAGACGTACCAACTTTCGTTTTCTGAACAACAAAACATCCTTCTGGAAGTTAATAAACTGTGTAGCATTCTACGAATTAACCTGTAAATATAACCGTCTTGTCTTTCAGTACGTAGCACATCTTGAAATGAAAAAGAAAGGTTTATTTCCGGTTCTGGAGTAAATATTTTGGACGGATAGTTCGCCTTGTTAGTACTGAGGAGATTTCCTTGGTCTAATTTTTCATTATAAATGATGAAAGTATCATCTGCGTATTTTCTGTAAAGATGAGATCATACGATCAAGGAGTAAATATATAATTTTCAAGAAAGACTACAATGCGATCAGTTAGAACTGGATGGATGCCTTCAATTTGTCTTCAAAGGCAAAACTCCCCACTTCACAAACTCCCCCTAACTGAGATAATATGCATCAGATGTGACCACATTAATTCCAAAAAACTGTAAATTCACTTTCCTACAAAATATCTAAAGTGACAACTCCTCAGATGCAGTTTTTACATTCAGCTTAAGTTCATAGAACAATTCCACCAGCTGAATTATAGCACGACCATGGATCCCACAGTGGCTTAATGCTTTATAATACTTTCATGGTTATCTGCTTTACAAGTGCGTTGGATAAAGTAATAGCCTGTCTCCTCCGCCATTTTGAAGAATATTGTATTCACCTACTGACTGTTAAATCTGAACTTTTAATCCAGTTACTGATGTGCATGTAACCTCTTTCTAATCAAAACACCGTATCTAATGATCGTAGTATTATGATTACAATAAGACATATTAGCGCATTACGACGCATTCTCGCTGTCAATAAATTACTTTGATGCAGCGTGGTTTTCATCGTAACATAAAAATTATGGCACATTAACTGCAATTTTGTCCCAAGCAACAGGAATGAGATCTGTGTCACTGCAGGATCTGAACTGTCCAAGAGGTGTCCTTCCCAGCGACTTGCGAAACCACACTCCCGCTGACGTTATCATTTCACTGTAAATATCGTGGATTTTATTCATCTGTCATGGAAAGAAATGATACCTAACTGGCAGTTTGTTACCGTACAAACTACTCAGTTTTGTTTTCTCATATTTGTTTTTAAAAATTTATTCCTTTGATTTCCAGGGGAACAAAGAGATTCAAGCTTGAACTATAAAGTCACAGTAGCAGCGGTGTTTTTTTTTTACGGAAGGGGTTGCCAGCCTCATGTCCAGCCTAACCATTTTGTTGTGTTTACTATCTGCGAAGCGAGGTTCATAAGTGCCTCAGCCGGGGGTCGGGCCTACGACCACGCGCATGGTAGGCTAATATTCCGCCAATGAACCACTGATGCATTAGTTTGAATCACACCGAATTAGAAGGGGTATACAGGATGTCAAATGAGGGTGAAAATATCTGGAATAATTTCGGATTGGTACAAAAATTGTAAAGGTATCAGTGAAAAACTGTCTTCCACACTTTTCTAAATCTGAAAGTTGAAACTGTATTCGATAAATAAGGTCAATAGATGAAGTGAAAAAGTGATCTGACAGTTATTGATGAGAATAATCACAGTGAAATAGGAAGCAACTTTTATTCGTATAGTTCAAGTTTTCATTTTTTATAAAAACGACTATTGCTACCTGCCTTAAATGTTTTCTCTGAATCTACTGACAACATCGAAAGAGAAACCATCTACACTTTTCACCTAAGTTATATATTAAGTAGCATTTCGAAATAAATTTCAAGAATAGACAGTTAGATTGGTTAAACACATCTAAGTAGAATTTTAAAATGCCACGAAATTTAATCTTAACGTGAATCAAGTTTCTAAATCATTGTGAAGTGTACACATTTCTTTTGATATCTGTATCATTTTAACCAAAAAAATATCATAAGTGTTTTACGAGAAAGTACATTTGAGAGCTAATTTTGAAACGTTATCTATATACTTATATTCCGAATAATAAACTGTTGATTAGAACCTACAATATCAGTAAAGATTTTACTAACTGGGCGTATATTCAAACAGTTAAATTTATATT